CCCCCCCAACACTTTCAAATCTTCAATCAAAGGTCTTAGGTAAATATCAATATCATTTTTAGGTTGTTTTGGTCCTAAAATCAACATGGATAGCATTATGTACTTCTGTTTCATGCACAACCTAGGTGATAGATTGTAAATCACCAAAAGAACAGGCTATGAACTATGTATACTACTAAGACTACCATATCCATCGGTAGAAAGTCCAAGCCTCAAGTTCCTTGGCTCATTGTCAAATTCAAAAACAATTGATCAATTTTCTTCCATTGAGAAGAATCGGCTAGATGTCAAAGTTTTCCATCAGATATCCTCTCATTTGCATGCCACATCAAGTTCTTTACATCATTAGTATTTGCAAACAAATGCTTGAACCTTAGTATAATTGGAAGATACCATAAGACCTTTGTAGGAGCCCCTTTATCTTTGTACCGTGGTGCCTCACATTTTGAATTCTCCTCCCCTTCAAGTTCTTTTCTGTACAACACACAATCATTAGGACATGCGTTTATTTTTTTATACTTCATACCCATTGGACACAAGATCTTCTTGGCATCATAATAACAATTTGGTAGTGCGTTGCCTTTTAGAAACATTATTTGAAGTAACTCTAATAACCATGTGAAACTTTGGTCACTCCACCCAGGTCTTGCTTTTAAGGTAACTAGTTTTAACTCCCTAGATAAAAAACTAAAATCAGTGTACCTGGGTATTGAGGCTTCTCTACGTTAGTGCACAAGTTATCATACACATGTGCTCGTTCAAAAGCCTCTTCCCCAATATCACGGATCATGTCCTCTAACCTATCTTCATTTATTTCTACTTCATTATCAAGATTATCAACTCCCACATATTGAGATGTGTAACTATAATTTTTCAATCATCCACCATGCCAAATCCATATTGCATAATTTTTGCAACTCACATCACAAACTAAGTGCTCTCTTATTTCGGCAACACCTAGCTCATTCAAACAATTAACACAAGGACAATAGAACCTTTCACTACTGTCAACAGCATTTTTCTTACCAAATTCCAAAAATTCTTTCACCCCATTATCATACTCATCACTCATTCGTCTAGCACTCATCCAACTATGATCCATGTGCCACCTCCTAAAGAATATAACTAATGTTATTATCTTCAAACTATTTCAAGAAACTAATTAATTTAAGATTTGAAAAAATTTCAGCAGAGTCTCCCTGAAAATTAGATCTCCTAAGACTTTTAAAAAAAATTTATAAGAGAAAATTGATAATTTTAAACCAAATAAATGATCACATGTAACAACCTGAGGCCTCATGAAGCCACTAACAATACTCTCAGCAACAATCAATATCATTAAAAACTAAATTTAAGCAATTTAGAGGAAAGAATGAATTCAAAAAAAATTTTGACAGAGTCTCCCCTAAAAATTAGACTTCCTAAAAGTTTTAGAAAATTTTACATGAGAAAATTAATAATTTTAAACCAAATAAATGATCACATGCAACAACCTGAGACCTTATGAAGCCACTAATAGTACTTCCAGCAACAATCAATATCATTAAAAACTAAATTTAAGCATTATAAAATTTAAAAATTCATATTCAACACATACCTGAGTGGCAACAACTGCAGCAACGGCTCAACACTAAGAAAGTAATGAGGGGAAAAGGAGTGGTGGCAGGGCAGAGTCACTGAGGCGGGGGGTGGGCAAGAGGGAGGGAGAGGGAGAGGGGTGGGTGAGGAAGGGGGAAGGGGAGGGGGGGTGAGGGAGGGGGAGGGGTAGGGGGCGGGGAAGAGGGGGAGGGGGAGGCAGGCGGGCGAGCGAGTGGGGGAGGATGAGGGGGAGGGGGAGGGGGAAGGTTGAGGACGAGGGGGCGGGGGCCGGCGAGGGAGGGGATGATAGGGAGGGGGCGGCGGGGGGTAGGAGATGAGGAGCAGGGGGCAGCGAGGGAGGGGGAGATGAGGGGTAGGGCGGCGAGAGGAAGGAGAGGAACTGAAAGGAGGGAATTAAAAAAAATTTTCTACACCAGGTGCCTGGCTACCCAATGTCAAAAGCTAACCTTTTACACCGAGTGAGTCCATTTTTTACATCGGGTGGACTTACTCGATGTAAAAGGTTAGCTTTTTACACTAGTTAGCCAGGCATCCGATGTAAAAAATGTCAAATAATTTAATATAATTACAAAAATGCCACCGCCTTTATTTTTTACACTGTTTGCCCTCCAACCGATGTAAAAAGTACCTCGTAAATTTCATATTTTGTACTAGTGCATGCATTTTTCCTCTTTCTTTTCTCTAAACCACAAGCTGATCCATGTCCTAACTTATCCAAATTCTATGCCATGTCTCATTGTGCATGTAGCATATAGCACGACATATGGCATACTGAGATTGATCTCACCGGTGCGCATGCATTATGTCCCAAATCACAATTCTACCATTCAATCTTGCAATCACATTAACCAAACAGCACCACACATTAATCTACTATCTAAACCCATATTCAATATACTAATTATTAATTTATTTCTAATTAACAACTAGTTTTCTAAATTGAAATTCAGGATGTTATACTTGGAATTTGAAGCATCGGATTGTCTTGGACCCAAATTCAGAGCCTTTGGTGGAGACTTGCTTGCAGTACTAGGATACTAAGTTTGAGCTATAGAAGAACTGGGAAAATCTTGAGCCTATGAAGATGGCTGGTATGAGGACCTTCTAGGCATTTTCTTCTTAATATGGATTGCTTGTTAGATCACTTCATCTAGAGTCCAATATTGTTGCAATTGCACTTGATAGCTAATAATAGTGTTTACCCCTCCTAGATAGTAGGCTATGGTCTACTTCTCCTTCTCTTAAATGTCAAATTTTATCATAAGCTTTTCAAACTCTCCGGTATACTCCTCTACGTATAGCATTTTCTAGAATAAATTTTATAGCTATATGAAATTATCCTAGTAATAGTGTACTAGCAATAACTTCCTTGTGAGTTTATGCTTCATTTTTTCCCAAGTCTAGATCTTGGTCTTTTCTATACTTTCATGCTTTTTCTTCAAGTTTTTCCACCATATGGATATGTGCTTCTTGAGTTTGATAGCCATGATCTTAACTTTCTATTTGTTGGGCACCTCTTTAAACTCAAATACATGTTCCACCATCTATTACCAATTGACAAAGTCATTGGGCTAGAGCTTTCCCTCAAAATCAAGGATTTCCATATTAATATTGCTATTGCAAAAAGTTTATCGTCTGTCTCAGTGGTTTCCAATAGATGATGAACTGCTACTACCAAAATCCCCTTCTGAGTTTTCTACATAAGCTTCTAATAAAGCTTGCTATAGTTCAATGGTAGCCTTTAGTTCCTATATTTGACGTCTCATCTTGTCTATCACAAGCTCATGCACATTCTTACATCTTGGAGGCATTTTATTAGGTGCCAGGGCTAGGATAAGGAATTTTGGAAAAAAAAATAAAGGAAAAATTGGGATTTTGGTGAATTTAAGTGCAAAATGGGAATATTGGAAAGGTTTAGGAGTAGCATAAAAATTTTGGAAGGATATAGGGGTAAAATGGGAATTTTAGGAAGTATGGGAGCCAAAATGCAAATTTCAAAAAGTATAGGGGTCAAAATTTAATTTTAAAAATATTTAGGGCCAAAATGAAATTTCTAAAAGTTATGATAGACTGGGCAAGATGACGTGGTAAATGGGATACATGGAAGATTTTGGAAAGGCTGACCTGTCATTAACAGGTTAGAACAGTTGACATGGCTGATGATGTTAGTGTCTTCAACCTCCAGTAGGAGAGGCCCTATTTATACTAGAATAAAAGTGGAAGGGTTACACAAAATGTTAAAGCTAATTATAGAGGGTTACAAGATTGTGGGTGTTACTATGAGTAAATGAGATTCTATAGAGGTCTAGTTACAAGGATGTTAATTTTCCATTTCAGAAGCATTCCAGTGACCTTTTGTCACCGTTGAAAACTATCAGTGGCGACTTTTCAACTTTGTCACCATTGAGAATCAATTTTTTTTTGTAGTGACCGACCATACTCACACTAGATAGAAGTCATGATATAGGGGTCTTAAGAGCTACACCTCTAACATGGAAGATTAGGCTTACATAGTTTTAAAAAAGACATCTTACTAGTTGTGCGGCTATCATCTATCTCTTTGATGAAGAACTTCTTCGAATTTTGGTTAAAAGGTTGCGCAACACAGATCCAATTCATTTTTGCTCTGCATGTATCCGATCCATCTTGCATTGGATCTGTATTTTTTCTCCTACCTTGGATCATTCAATAGCCAATCCCTTGCTTGGACATCTAGATATCATCATTCACAAAGGAGGTTTTGGTCGATCTCTCTGCAAGGAAAATTAAGATGTCATTGACTGAGATGTTCATCATCTGCTTTGCTTTTCTGGATATGTCTCTATTACCAAGTAAAATTTTTCTTGGTCTTATGACTCTTTCATTAGTGACTTTTACTATAATTTGTAATTACCTTTTATCTTATTAATATCATTTGACTTTTTTTCCCAAAAAAAAAAGGATTTCATGAGTTGAGCTAAACAATCATAACTCTGTTAAATAATATATGGAAATCACTTTTTATAATGTTAAAGTTGATTATGTACTTTGAAAGCCTAGACTATCTAAATCTAACCTAAAATTTCCAAATAATATATACACTCATCCAACATGCAAATATCAGAGTGCCTAAATATCCCATCTTTAGGAAGAAACCAAGTCATTACAGACACGTTTGTGGCTGATGAAACTAGGAGATGCACAATTTCCTCGAATTTCACAAATTTGAAATGACATTTACGACTAAGTCATGAAAGCCATTTCGAGAGCAGAAATACTCGCTCATCTATTAACAATGGAGAAAAATATATCCTACAAATTAGGATGTTTCAGATTCACTTTTGAATGCTAAATAGGTACTCTAAAAGTTCCATATATATATATATATAGCACACTTCCTCTTAGAAGATCAATAACACACATTCAAAACTCAAGCTTATATCCCTATTACTGTTTCTAACCTAGCAATCATGTCCAGTGCACACCAAAGCTTCGATGCTGGCCTCTCCCATGGTCAATCTCAGGTGAATTCAACAATAACAACTCCTTTATTTTTTTTTTTTCCAAAAGCTCATCAATAATAACTCTAATTCTCAAATTCTTTTTTTCTTTTGGATAAAATGATTCTGAAATTCTTACCATTTCAGTAACACCAAAATATGCATGCGCGCTTCCTTTGAACTTCATCAAAATGAAATTGTAATATACACATATATATTCAAAATTAATATATTGAATAACCAAAATTTTCTATGCATGTGTTTAATAAATTAATTATTCAATGTTTGGTTGGTTAATTAATTAGAAGAAGGCAGACCAAAGTGCAGAATCAGCGAGGCAGTCAGGAAATGCTGCACAGAACTCAGCAACTGCAGCCATGGACAAGGCTTCTGAAGCTGTAGACTCATCTGGAGGGCAAGCTCAGCAACACAGGGAGGAAGCTGGTGGCTTGCTCAAACAGGTTAATTTATTATTATAAAGCTTTAAATATGTACTGTGCAATACATGAAGTTTGATATTGGTTGTATGTGATTTATAAATAATATGGCTTATTATTCATAAAGTCTACTACAAGCTACAAGCTTTCTACAACAGGTTAATTAATGATGAAATCATTTTTTAATCTATGGTTCACAAACATATGCATGACCTTCTTAGTTTTAAATTTACTTTTTCCTTAATTTTTTGTTTCAGATATCTCTTGTAGTTAAAAAAAAAAAAAAACTTGTATATCTTCCCTAAAACAAAAAGTAAGTTACACAAACTCCTATGAGCATTTTCAAAATTTTCAGACATCTCTGTTTTTTTTCTAAAGGAAAAAACAAATTGAAACCTTCATTTAAGACTAATGAGACATCCCTTCTAATTTTAAGGAAAGTTTGAAAATAATTTAAAATTTTAAAAACCATGTAATTTCAATTAAATTTAGGAGGTTGGTAGGTTTTAAGAATTAAAGAGAGGTCTGTGAATTTTTTGTACAATTGAAGACAAGTTGTTAATGATTTTAAAAGAAAATAAAATTTTTATATAATTTTAAAAAATTTAAAGAGATTAGCATAATTTGCTCAGCTAATTTTTGAAGAATAATTAAATTTAATATCCTGTTGATGCAGGCTACACAACAAGTGAAGAACATGGCTCACGATGCTGTGGACAGTGTGAAGCACACACTTGGAATGGACAAGAAAAATTGAAAAGGAAAAAAACACATAAAAAAGAAAAAATGGAGCCTCTCTTGTTTCTTTTATGGAACAATGTTGAATAAGTGACGAAGTTTGGTTAATTTGGATTCTTTGACAACTGTCTTATTATTTGTAAAATTGGATCCCACTTTTTTTCCTATTTTTTCTGCACTTTATTAATTTTGTCAAGACGATGTATTTCAAGGGATTCAGATTCAGAATTTGATGCTTTCGTTTTTTTTACTTAAATTATGTTTGGGGTAGCTATCATGGACTTTTTCTGGTCCACGATAACATCAAATACGTAGAAAATAATGTAGGGAAAAGGTACACAATGATGTAAGCAACATCAATTATTATTCTAAATAAAAGGTTCCTCATGGTTTAACTTCATGGTTATGTTATGAATGTGTTTAGTTGTATAGTATATATTTATCTATTGGAGAAATAAAAATTAATATGCTTATGATTATTGCTCCCTCTATTTGTTATTGTAAGATGTTATTTCAAATACTTAAAAAAAAAATAGTCAGTGATTAAAGGTAGTTATGATCTTATTTTTCTCAAAAAATTTTACAACATTCCAAGATTACCTTTAGTTAAAGTCATTAATTTCTATCCCAAATTTAACTGTATGTCTTTAATTATCTCACTTTATGAAAGGAATTTTTGAAAAAAAACTCATAAATGCTTCATTATTTTTTATAAAAAATATTCTTAGATTAAGGAACATATGAAATAGTTTTAGAAAAAGTTCCAATTCCATAAAGTCTAATTTTTTGAGCCTAACCTGATAGGCTACCCTAAATAAGTTTAAAAAAAAATTAAGGCAAGGCATACAAAATAACACACTGTTAATTTCAAGCTAGAAAAAATTTAGGCCAAGTACAAACGAATGATTGGCTTGGCCTGAATACCTCAAATAACACTTTATTTTAAAAAAAATATATAAAGTATATTTTATATTTTATATAATAAAAAAATAATACACTTTAAATTAAAAATGATTTTTTAAAAAATTAATAATTTCGGTATTTGGGCTGGCTCAAATAAGACTAAAGCCTAAAAGTGTTAGGGTTAGGCTTGGTGATATGGCTTTTTTTTTTCTTTTATAAGTGTGAGTTTATTTGGACTAGCCTGAATTATTGACTCTAATAATAATGAAAAGTTGGTAACTGACAGAACATATTTGTTACACACTTTTATTTGTCAATTAGGACCCTGTTATTAATGTCTTATCATCTCAAAGTGTAGGCATTGCATTTGAATTGGAAAATTGTCTAAGTATCTGGATTTAATGCACTAAGGATAATTTGGTCCAAAAATAAACTTTTGAGAAAATGTATAAAAAAAATTGACAAAGTATATTTTATATCCAGTTCATGAGTGATTAAATTATATTTTTAAAATTTATTTTAGTTTGAAAGTAATTAAATAAAAAGTCAACACTTTTTTAAGTGTCTTAGTTTGACCTAGTTTTTAGATTGTCTTTGTGTCGAAATTTTTATATAATTTTGTTTAGCCTAAAACTTAGTTAATTTAATAAATTCTCTCTTCTAATTATGAATTTAATTCTGGACATAATTTGATTTTATTATGTCACATGCTATTTAATTGAATTATTTGATTTATGTGACATAGGTGACATGTGACTTTGGCATCAATTAGGCAATTAAGGTCAACACTTCCAGAGGTCAAAGGCTTCAACAAAGGGGCATGATTTCTAATTTAATTGAGGGATTAAATTAGCCTAAATAATGTGGATGACACATGAGAAATTACACACACAATGGAAACATTTACAAATCAATAGGAGGATGCTATATTGCAAGTGTGACAAGGCTCCCATTTCTATTTTAATTTCTTTTCCCATTTTTTAATTGATACCTTAGTTGAGGGAAACTCTAATTATTTACACCACACACTTCTAAATCAAATTTACAAGCCATTCATTTCATCTTTCACATTTATCTCTCTTGTTCTTAGTATCTTCATTTTCTCCATCTTCTCTCTATACTTCCAGCTCGTCTAGCCCCGATTTCTCCACCATTTCTCCATCAAATCCACTCAACTCTTCCACCATTCTTCTCCTCTCTTAAGGCTGAACCTACCCTAATGTTTAAAATTGTGCCTTAAGGCTAATCATTGTACTATAAACATTGTTATTTATAAAATTTCTCTTTTATTATCATACTAATTGCATGTTCACTATGATAACTATATCCTTAAATAAACTATGTTGATTATTCTAAATGTCCCCTAGTTGGTCATCTATAAGAGATCATAGATGAAGCAAGACTAGTACAACTTTGATTAATTATAGAGATATAAATCAAAGTCATAGGTACTTGAAAGGGTTTGACGTACTGGACCAACCTGGTATAAGAAAGGTGCATGGTATAAGTTATAAGCTTATCTCATATGTAACTATATTACTAAGCCCTTTAACCTGAGATCATCATAAATTCTTACATGATAACCACTGAACTTTGACCTAATCAAAAGTCACCTCTGACTAGGTGATCATAAAGGATGTGATAGAGTTTAATGATATTCATGTAAAGGAATACGAGTGGTCAAGATAAAATTTGTCCCTCATGTTAATTGAGAGATATTACTAGGCTCTTTATGAGTAAAACTGAGAAAATGTATGGCCATACTATAATGAAAAGGATTTTTCCATTGTTATAATCAGTCCACTCAGAGATCAAGAAAGTAATGGTCAGGTAAAGGAGAATGACAATTCCATGTCTCACTTGACCCAATATCGTGTGACAAAAAGGATGTGATACAGTTATATGATAGGTTGCATCGAATCATAGATCCCCATATGAATTGGGTAGTTGCAATGTCTTGATAGAGGCCACTTATAACTTGTGGGCTAATAGAGTAATTAGCCCACTGCCAACTTCATATGGGCCTATAGGGTCGCACACAAGAATAGCCTAACTTTAGCTATAATGTCAAAGTTCATTAAATTTAAAATATGTCTAGATTCAATGAATGCAATATAAGGTGAATGAATTATATATATGTATATATATATTCAATAAATATATATATATATATTTATATAAAATATAAAATTCAAAATATATATATTCATGTGTGTGTGTATATATTTGAAATAAATATGTATATATATTTGTCTGAATATATATAATATAATATGTATATGTGATATATCATATCATATCATATCATATTATATTATATTTGTTAGTTTTAAGTTTAATTTTATATGATAGATTAAATTTAATAACTAACATAATATGAGAGAATATCATATCAATTTTATAGTTTGAATTTATAAGATAAATTCAAATTAGATATGATATTATAGATTTTATTTATGAGATAAATTTAATTAAATTTTTTCATTAGCTCTTCAAGTGAAAGGCAAAAACCTTAATCTATATATTATATGTAGAAGGGAATGTGCAAAAGGATAAGCAATATTGAGAAACTCTCCTGACAATAAAAACACGGTGAAAGCCATAGAAACACCCTAGAGAAAAGTAGTTCAACATTTTGAGATAATGGACGGACGTTTTGAGCACTAGCACATTGTTCAAGTTAGAAAACTGTTTGTGTAGATAGCAAAAAAAGGAGCAGATTTACATTGTCAGCCACTGAAATCCAATTTTTCTAATCTAAGACCTAACAATTTAGAAGAAGATTTGAACTTAATTATCAAGATCAATAAAGCAACTTACACGGCACCTATGTGCTCACGGAGGAAGCAAGATTTTCTTGATGTTTTCTATAACATCTTAAATTTTTTAATCCTGTGATTTGCTGTTAATTAAGGATAAAGTTGTAATTAGTGTGGGATTTGAGATTTGGATGATTAGTTGATAATTTGTGTCTTTGGAATGTTAAATGAATAGATATGGGTTGAAAGATAGCGTTTCAAGTCGAAGCAAGTGTGCATCATGAGAATTTTTCTCAGTCATGAAATCTAGGTAAATTTTAGAGAGAGAGATTTGCAAACACATGAAAGGAGAGGAAAGGAAGCTAAGGTTTGCTAAGGCAAGAGATTTTAGAGTTATGGAAGGTGCTTCTAATCAGTAACTTTGTGAGTAAGCTACATATAACTCTTACGTTCCATTCTACCCAAATTTCTTTAAATATGAGTTATAGAGAAATTAATTGGTGAAATTTTAAGGATTAATTATTACCTAATAGTAACAAAAAGGTTTTTAAAAGTTAAATTAGAGCTTTGTGATTGGTTTAGATCTGAAGGATAGAGCTTTGAGCCTGTAGGCTCAATTTGGCCCTAATTCATTGAGATTTTAGGGTGGAAATCATGTTTAAGTAAAATGAGACCAGTTGAGGTAATGTAGAGTAGTAATCGAGTAGTAATGGACTTAGAATAGATGAACGGAAAAGAATAGATGGCTAAATATAGCCATAAGTAGTAAGTATGTGCTTTTGGTCAAATAGGACTAAATGATTAAATTGTGCTAATTGTGTGTAGATTGGCATATCGAGCATGTGAATTGAGAAAGAAAGCTTGTGATAAGCTATAGTTGTAACACCTTAAATTTTTTTAGAAAACAATTTAACTCAACTATGGTAGAAAAATGTCTACCATGATAAATAGAAGTCATCTTATTCTATATATATATATATTTTTGAAACAATTTTATAATTTAAAACACCACTATAGTTAGAAATGATGAAACATAACCTTATAAAATATTTCACCTTTTAAATTAACTACCATGGTAGAAAAGATTAAACCCCTTTTTAAATAATACAAAATAATTTTTATACAACTAGTATACATTTACAACTATAGTTGGGTTACAGCCACCCAACACATTTTATATCAATAAATTTAATATAAAATAGTTTATAATTGACTTAAGCTTTCACAATACAACATCTCAGATGAATTTTTACTTTCCACATGCCATTAGGGTAAAACCATATTTTTCATCCTCATACTCCCAATAAGTGCAAACCATAAATCAATAACTAACAACTTAATCAATTTCTAAAACAAGTCATCCAAAGTTAGAGATCAAAGTTATTTGACCTCATAATCATGCCATTTCAAACCATCCAAAATAAATTAGAGATCAAAGTTACAGCCATCTAAAGTGTGCCAAAAGTAGAAATAGTTTGAAGGGCATGATTACATCATTACATTCATATAATTGTCAATAAACTAAAGCCCTAGTATTGGCAATATACACATTAAAAATCATAAATCAAATACCTAAAAGAGACAGTGGATCTATGCCACTAAGCCTCAGGGACTTCACGCGCCACTCGTGGCTCTTCTCCTAAAAATTGTTAACCACATAATGAGACTCAAAAGTCCTAGTGACCAATGCTAATTTATGATAGTGTATAGAAACAATTAAATGTGTGCTTGCT